GAGAGAGAGAGAGAGAGAGAGAGAGAGAGAGAGAGAGAGAGAGAGAGAGAGAGAGAGAGAAGATAATGTGCCAAGGACAAAGCAACAACCGCAGCTGATTATTGAATTCATCTTTGGCTCAATTTCATAATCGGATGTCATAGCTTGATGCTCCAAGTAAATAGAGCACCCACCAAGGAAATCAGAAAAGTGGTGGATACAAACCTAGTAGCCACACTACCTCAACTTCCTTGCATTTGTCCTTTCCACAGAATGATGTCGTCGAATATGCCGCGGCCTATTTCCTCTTCCTGTCAGTTTCACGCCTCTGTTGGCGAACAACTGGCCCTCACAACAGCAGCAACATGGTGGCATACACACTTCCTCCCAGGCTGCCACAACCGACCCCGCGAAGCGAAGGCAAAACTTCAAACAGGCATGACCACATGATCCACAAAAAAAAAAAAAAAAAAAAAAAAAAAAAAAAAAAAAAAAAAAAGATGTGATCAACATCTCTCCTAAAACCTTGCGTGATGCGAAAGTCTGAAAGACAGTCTACAGAGAGAGACTCAGAGCGGTAGAAGTGACAGCGGGGAAGGGATACAAGGAGGGAGGGAAGGGGGAAGGAGGAGGGTACAGTCAAGACTGAACCCTCGTGCGTTGAGGTGGAGATGGTGCCCAAGCTGGAGAAGGGTGAGGCAGTCGGAGTTTGGATTCCTGAAAGAAAATCCATGCGTCGACGAAATGCTGAACGAAAAGCTGTGGTTAGTTCTCCACGCGCAGCACATTTTCCAATATCCTCTAAAAGCCCTTTTAAGCCAACTGGCCAGATTGGTGCATAGCGAACTGGCCAGATTAGGCCCAGATAGCTGTGTATGGAACTGGCTACATAGTGACTTAGCAAATTGGCGTGATAGCCACATAGCCAAGTGCCCAGAGAGCCGCATAGCCGACTGGCCAGATAGCCACAAAGCCAACTGGCCAGATAACCAGATAGCCGCATAGCCAACTGGCCAGATAACCAGAGAGCCGCATAGCCAACGGGCCAGATAGCCGCATAGCCAACAGGTCAGATAGACGCAGAGCCAGCTGGCCAGATAGCCACATAGCCACCCAGCCAGCTGGCCAGATAGCCACATAGCCACATAGCCAGCCAGCCAGCTGGCCAGATAGCCAGTTAGCCCCGGAGTCGGAAGGCCAGTTCCACAGATGGCAGTGTTTACCAGCTTGCCAATTTGACAGGTGGCCAGATCGCAAGCCGGCCATCCGCTTAGCAAGCTGCCAACCAGCAAGCTCTCCAGTCACCTGGCATGCCCCACATTGCCAAGCTGGCAGTTAGGCAGCCATCCAGAGCAGCCCTCCAGCTACTCAGAATGCCCGCTTCGTTGATCTAGCAAAAGGGACAATTAGCTATATATCCCGTTACCCAAGCTGTCTATAGCCATCTGGCGCTCCAGTATAGCCAGCCTGCCACTCCATCAACGAAGTTAAGCCACCACTCCAACGGCCCCTGCACTGTTCATTTTTCTTGTCTACAAGTACCGGGCCAAAATCTACAAGGCCCAGGCGCCAGTAGAGGTTTGGTGGGGAAGGGTACCACTGTACTACCACAACTATTTTTCCTCACCGCGCAAAACCTTACCAGCCCTTGACATATGAAAGAAACTCCTCGTAAGAGATGTACTTTGACTTCATACCGCAGCACTATAGATTTTAGGCTCTCGGGGAAATGCGACTTCTGGTTCGTCAACATCGGTCCCGATGGAGTTATTGGTTTAAAAAGCTTTGCCAGGTTGACTTGAACAAGCTCGGACAAAGAACATAATAACCAATTGCTACACCACTCGGATAATACTGCATCATGAGCACCTGTACAGCTAAGTGCCCATGCCATGCAAAGCTGGTCAATCAAAGAGGGCTTAGGGAGTTAATAATGCTGCAACTGGTGAGCAGCAGCTAGTGCTGCAAACTTTCCCTACGAGATCATGACTATGCTGCACTCGTCCACTACACGTTCATGACTTGATAACAGAGAATCATGCTACCATGTAAGAAACCCTCAGCTTGCACATGCATTTGTGTTTGTCTGTGTACGTGTGTGGGGAAACACAATCGTTTATGTGCATGTGTGTGCATGTGTGCGTGTGCGAGGTGTGTGTGTGTGTGTGTGTGTGTGTGTGTGTGTGTGTGTGTGTGTGTGTGTGTGTGTGTGTGTGTGTNGTGTGTGTGTGTGTGTGTGTGTGTGTGTGTGTGTGTGTGTGTGTGTGTGTGTGTGTGTGTGTGTGTATGTGTGTTGTCATGTTCGCTATACACGACTCCACAAAGAAAGCATGAGTGTGTTTCTGTGTGCCTGCGTACGTATGCAGGTACGTGTGTGTGTGTGCATGCAGTGCGTATGTGTTGTCGTCGTTGTGTGTGTATGTGTGTGTGTGTTGTGGATTTTCACGACAACAGCGCCCTCTTCCACCCGGATGAGTGCGCGTGTGCGTGCGCATGCAGTGCATGTGTGTGTAGGTGTGTGTGCGTAGGCGCGTGTGTGCGGGCAGTTGGCTGGGTGAGGTCGGGGAAGGGGGTTGCTCAGCACATGCCTTGTTATAGTGCATTTGGACGCAAACATCGTTAGAGTCTTTTCTCTGTCTGGGTATGCTGTGCAGGCAGCAGACGCGGCAGATTGAATGCCGGCGACGTGCACGTCAGAAATAGAGCCCAAATCCATTGATTCCCCCCACATCCTGCTTCCTGTACTTTTGCTTCGCGACGGTTTGCTGGGATTTGCTACCCGGGAGTTGGAAGAGCAAGCTGCAGAGGCTGCAAGGCAGTCTGCACAGAGTCTAAGATCTTCTTGTTCCGTCGGCAGACGTCGGACATCTCCTCCATGGCTGCCACCAAGGCTTGAGCTTGCGCACCTGTAGCTGTTGTGGTGATGGCTTGCACAAATGCATTCTTCTCAGCATCAGTGACCGCGATAGTCGGGATGCGTGAAACCGTTTCCGTTGCCCATTGCACTGCCATCGGACCGCACAACCTTGCAAGCGCACTAACCACACCAACCAACTGCAAGTCAACAACATGACAGCCAGTCAGTCGGTCATGAATAACAGAAATTGGTAGATATTCGCTTCCGTCAAGATCGTGAAAAGGCCCCTTTCACTTCTCGCACACTCCTCTGCCATACAGACGGTACACGAGAGAAAGCTCTCGAAGAAAATATAGCAAACATCTTTATAAACTGTAAAGCATTCCAGCACCAGCCCTACCGTCTTCCCCCGAATAGAACGCCCAGTCATTATAGCTTTATTTCCAGCACCAGCCCTACCGTCTTCCCCCGAATAGAACGCCCAGTCATTATAGCTTTATTTAGGGAAGAAACTTTCAGTCTAGATGCAGCTATAATGCCCTGGGCGTTCTGTTCAGGTAAAGACGGCAGCAGTAGCTAGCAACTTAGCAACATCTCCACAAGTCAGCAGCCTTCGTTGTTGTTTTTTTTTTTTTTTTTTTTCCACTTTGTCATATCCTTACTGCAACTTTGATGCAATACCCGGCCCATGTGGCTGAATGACAGACAAATGGAACCGCTAATCAACAGGTCAGGAATTCAAATCCTGATGGAATCAGATGGATACCGCTACCGTCTTCACCCGAATAGAACGCCCGGTCATTATAGCTGTATTTTGCACAACTTACAGCCCAGATACGGCGATAATTACCGGGCGTTCTATTTGGGTGAAAACGGCAGGGTAGGAGCTAACCCCTTTTACAAAGGAGGACTTGGTTGAAGCATTTGCCAAGGTACCTTTTTTTTTTTTTTTTTTTCTGTTTGCCAAGGTCCTACCGCAGCTAAGATAGCAGTTCTAGCAGCATCCCTGGCAACAGTCCTAGCAGCAGACTATAGGCCAGGTCGCACCACTGGTATTCTGATCTGGCTTCTGAACTAGCATGAATCAGGCCTGTATTGATAGCAAAGTACGTTCAGATATCAACAAATGGTTGGGTGCAACCTGCGGCTCTCGTGGTACACAAGTGAACTGGTTTGGTGGTTTGACAACAACACACACACCAAAATAAAATAAAAAAGACAGAAGAAGAAGGTCCCTCTGTGTAGAGGCCATGGCATCACTCCACGCACACAAGTGCTCCTGCACAGCCTCCTGAAACGGTATTCACCTGTTAGCAGTAGCGAATGCAGATCCCAGGGCTCGATCCCTAGTTCTTACCTTCCCTGTGTACAGTACCTGTGTCGACCCCGAGAGTTGAACCCGTGAGCTGTGTATTCGCAACAGTTGGTAGGCTGTCGTAGGTCCGTAGGTTGTAGGGGTTCGATCTGTAGACCTGTCGGATAGAGGGCATAGTGAGTTCTAGAAGTCGTAGCTGTAGCTCTTTTGAAAGGTCAAGTTCGTAGCTGCTACAGTCCTGAAAGGTCAAGGTCGTAGCTGCTACAGTGTCAAAGGGCCAAGTCCACAGACTTCCGGAAGGTCCGAAAGAGGCCCTTCCCACGTTGCTCACAGCAGACTGGAGGCAAGTGGGCAAGTGGTGAAGTCCACCCTTGCTGAGTCAGCAGTACCGGTCCCAGTCAGTCCTAGTCCAGTCAAGCAAGTACCGTGTGGGACTGTGTGCACCAAGGGCATGGGAAAGGGGCAGACCAACGAGTTACGGAAGTATAAATCAAGAAGCAGCATCCAGCCATTCATTCATTCCTGCGTAAGCCATGCAGAAGCGCTGCTTGAGCGACTTGTGCGAGGTGGTCTGCAGAGTGCCCGAAGACGGAGTGGGCTGAAGAAGGTAGTTAGACATAGCTAGGAGAGGGACAGCGGCCATAGCCGCCATAGCTGATAGGCGAGAGTGTGATTACGAGAGTGTGTGTACGCGTGTGGGATATCCAGGGTGATACGGAGTGAGTGAGTGCGAACAGTGGTGTTGGACAGAGTGACGAGAGCTGGGTTGTACAGGCGCTGAGGCGCCATAGCCTGTTGAAGCAAGCTTGTATCTGAACTGAGTTTTCGACTTCCATATCTCTGAGCTTTGAGTGGGCGCTGTCCGCCAGTGTGACTCGCCAACTGTTTGCATGAGCGTGTAGCGGGAAAAGAAAGAGAGTCTGATTGCACTCCTTACACTGTGAATGGCCGATGTAGGGCCTCACTCCACCACTCAACATTGATCACATATCTGGACTGTGAATGGACCGGATACATTTCGAAAAAAAAAATTCAATCAGGCCGAACGTATCTGGTCCCTCAACAGTGCAGACACGTGTCGGAAGTTGGGTAGAGGAGCAAGGTCCAAAATCTACAGACAAGGGTCCTCAACTCCCCAGAGTTACCAGGTCACACAGTCGATAAGGGTAAAAAACATACTTGCGGCGCGTCGACGTGCGCTGCACCGCGCACACCCGGCGCACTGCGCACGACGCACGCGCATGGGGTGCGGCGCACCCTGAAAATAAGGGGTCGAGAAAAAAGTTGGGATGTCGCGTCATAAACCACAAAAAAATATTAACAAAAATTTGAAGCCGCGTAGGGCCTCCGAAAAAAAAAAGGGGGGAAGTTCGTTTTTTTGTTTGTGTGTGTGTGTGTGTGTTATGAACTTGGTTGTCTGACGAATTTTCTCGCCACTCACACACAGACAGTCTCATACATGCCCATACATGCACAAGAGATGGGGAGAGAGGAGACAGATTCCACACTGCACACAGGTGAAGATAAACAGCGGAAGACAATCATGCACAGTAGGGGAGAAGACACACAGTGTTTCTCACTCTCTGACACAACTCCCAACAACCAATCACAAGGGAGAACCTGCGAAGATCACAATTGAAACTGACACTAATGCTGAGCCACTCACACAATTACCGTAACAGAGTTTGTTCCAGTATCTCGCCACACTCAGAACTCACACCCCACTCTCTATCCTACACCCAGTTAGTAGCGCTGCATCAGAACAGCCTCCCAGAGGCCAGCGTCAACCACCCTGATGAAGAACAGGTACTGGGATGAAGTCTTCAGTGCCRATGGACAACTMTGACGAAGGAACGGGCAGCTATGGCTGCCACCACCCACGAACCACTCAGTGTAGAGCCTCAAAGTAGCCCGGCCTGACGCAGATACCCCCAGGGGTAGATGCGCTGAGGATGCCCCAGCTATGGCAGACTCAGATGAGGCCGGCTATGGCTGCTGTTGCGGTCTGTCTCAGGATGCCGCCGGTAGACAGGTACCGCTTCCAACTCGCTTGGCTTCTCCAACACTGTTCGCGAGAAATGAACTGCCCAAAAGTCCTGAACCGATGAGCCTAACCTATCTATAGACTCTCTAGACCTAGACCGGACTGACTGACCGACCGGTACCGTTGCTGTTTTTCGGCCTCTCGGCCTCTACCAGACCCGGCTATAGGCTATAGGACCGTCCAACAGTATAGGCCGCTTAGGGCCTGTCTGTCCTAGGGGTTAGCCCGGGCCTGCTATAGGCAGTTAGGGTAGCTGTAGGAATTCGGTAGTACCGGGCCTGTATTTTCCCGGATTTGCAGATCTGTCCCTCACGAATTTCCTTACAGGCAGGTCTCTCGGTTAGCCCTCAGCCAAACAAAATTACAAATCTAACCTACCGGGTTAGTGTACAGCCTCGCTGTCAATCTCGGCAGCAGAAATCAGCAAGTCATTGCAGGCTTACCCTCCCCGGGAGCGAGGACCTCCGAGCTAGGGGTGCAGACGAGGCGAACAGCGAAGGTCACCCTTCTGAGCCGCCTCATA